AGTCTTCCTGCAATGCTGATGCCATGTTGTCCTTCATAGTTCAGCTTCTCAGATTATTAGCTCACTATACACATTGAATAAACATGGTGAAAAAATATAACCCTGACACACACCTTTACTGATTTTAAATCACGTAGTATCCCCTTGTTCTGTTGGACTCTTGGTCTATGTACAGGTTCTTCATGAGCATAATTAGGTGTTCTGAAATTCCATTATCCACAATGTTATCCATAATTTGTTGTGATCCACACCGTTGAGTGCATTTGCATAGTTAATGAAACCTAAGTATCTTTATGGAATTCTGTTTTCAGTCAAGATCCATCTGGTATCAGCAATGATCTCTCTAATTTCATGTCCTCTTCTGAATCTGGCTTGAACTGGTAGTTCCCTGGTTATGTACTGTTGCAGTAGTTTTTGAATTATCTTTAGGAAAATTTTATTTGTACATCATATTAAGGATACTGTTCAACAATTTCTGCATTCTGTTGGATCAACTTTTCTTTCGAATGGGCACAAATAGGTATCTTTTGCAGTTGGTTGATCAGATAGCTGTCTTCTAAATTTTTTTGGCAGAGATGAATGAGCATTTCCATATTGCTTTTGTTTGTTGAAATAGCTCAAAGGGTATTCCATTGATTCCTGAAGCCTTGCTTTTCACTAATGCCTTCAATGCAGTTTGGACTTCTTCCTTCAGTACCATCAGTTCTTGATAAAATGCTACCTTTTGAAATGGCTGAACATCGATTGATTCTTTTTGGTAGTGACTCTGTGTATTCCAACTGTATTGTGATGTTTCCGGCATCACTCAATATTTTGGCCATAAACCTTTCCATATTCCAACTCGAGTTTTGAATTTTTTTCTTCAGTTCTTCCAGCTTCAGATGTGCCAAGTGTCTTCTTCCCTTTTGGTTTTCCAACTTCAGGTCTTTGCACATTTCATTATAATGCTATGTCTGCTCAAGCCACCCTTTGAAATTTGTTCAGCTCTTTTATTTCATCATTTGGTAGTGTAGTACCTAAGGCATTTGACTGCTAACCAGAAGGCTGGCAGTTCAAACCCACCAGCCACTCCTCACAAGGAAGATTAAGTGATCTTCTTCTGCAGTGATACAGCTTTGGAAACCCAAGGAGAGGTTGCTATGAGTTGGATCTGAATCGATGGCAGCCCGTTCATTCATTCATTCTTTCTTCCACCAGCCTTAGTTACTATACATTCAAGAGCAAGTCTCCTCTGACATTCATTTTTGTCTTTTCATCCTTTCCTGTTTTTTTAATGGCATTTGCTTTCTTCATGTATGATGTCCTTGATATCATCCCACAACTCCTCTGGTAATTCCTGTTCAATGTGTTAAATCTATTCTACAGATGGTCTGTAAATTAAAGTGGGATATACTCAAGGTCATACATTAGCTCTCATGGACTCATTTTAATTTTCTACAGCTTCAGTTTCAACTTGCATGTGAGCAATTGATCTGTTCCACAGTTGGCCCCTGACGTTTTTGTGACTGACCTCATCTGTTTGTCATAATTTGGTGGCTCATGTGTTGCTGTGAGGCTATAAGCTATGCCACTGGTGTTTCAAATACCAGCAGGGTCACCCATGGTGGACAGGTTTCAGCTGAGCTTCCAGATGCAGACAGAACAGGAAGGAGGACCTGGTGACCTACATCTAAAAATAAATAAATAACTCACTAGTGAGAACCTTATGAAGAGCAGAACTTGGTCTGATATTTGCTAGAGGACAAATCTCTCTGGTTGGAAAGGACTCAAAATACTACTGCTGAAGAGCTACTTTCTCCAAGTAGAGTCAGTCTTAATGACATGGATGGAATAATACTTTCAGGAATTCGTTGGTGTGGCTCACTTCAAAATGGGAGGAAATAGCTGTAAAAATTCATTAATAATAAGAATGTGAAATGTAAGAAGTATGAATATAGGAAAATTGTAAGTCATCAAAAATAAAATGGAATGCATAAAGATCAATACCTACACATACGTGAATTGAAATGGACTGGTATTGGCCATTTTAATTGGACAAACATATGATCTACTCTACTGGGAATGACAAATTGAAGAGGAATGGTGTCATATTCTGTCAGAATGAACATTTCAAGATCTATCCTGAAGTACAATGCTGTCTGTGATAGGAAAATATCCATATGCCTACAAGGAAGACTAGTTAATAGTACTGTTATTCAAATTTATGCACCAACCACTAAAGCCAAAGATGAAGAAACTAAAGATTTTTACCAACTTCTCCAGTCTGAAATTGACCAAATATTCAATCAAGATGTACTGATAATTAGCAGTGACTGGAAGGCACAAGTTGGAAATAAGGAAAGATTGGCAGCTGGAAAATATGCTTTTGGTGATAAAAATAATGTCAGAGATCACATTACAGAATTTTGCAAGATCAAGGACTTATTCATTGCAAATATCTATTTTCAGTAACATAACAGTGACTACATGTGGCCTCATTGAACAGAATACACAGGAATCAAATCAACAGAGTTTGTGGCAATATACAGATTTACCTAACTCTTCTTAAATGCTTCATAATAATCCATAAATAAATGAACAATATAAGTGATTTATGTAACAACCCTCTTCTCAATGCATTCTAAGCTGCAGCTTTATCTATCCAATCCTATCTATTATCTCTTTCAAATTTTCTGACCTACTCATGGAAAAATGTTATGCTTCCCCTCACAAATTGTAACTTGTACTTTTTAAATCTATATTTTCTATTATCTCGTAGAATCAGATGCAAGAGGAAAGATAGGAAAATGTCCTCATGCTTGGTTGACTGCCTTGGTCTACTTCATGGAAAAAGGGGCACAAAGTGAAAAGTATGATATATGACCATCCATGTGTACCACAACTAAAAACAATTAGGATCTGGCAGATAACCTTCCTCTGAAACATAAAGGACATTAAGCTTGCTTGCATTGGTAGGATTCCAGCTGTATGAACAACAATCAGTCTATTCTGGTTGGTAAGTATGTCACACCAGTTGTTAAACAGTTTAAAAACCATCCCTGAAGTATATGAATATAACTCATACATGCAATTTCTAAAATGTTTCCTCAACCTAGATGATGAATAATAGGAATTTATTTTGAGTACTAAGTGCCACCAAAGAAGGTGAAAGAGACAGAAATAACCCAGCTTCCTCATTTCCTAAATTAATCTCCAAACAACTGTACTCTTGCTCACCACTATATACTTAGTACTTGAGACAGTACCTAGCTGGTAACAGGGACTCAAACTCATTACTGAATAAATAGAAATATATTGAACAAATGTTTGGCCTATATCTCAATCGCAAAATGAGCTAAATCAAATACTTAGTCACTTTAAACTTGAAGATTTTACCTTAAATAAGTAAAATTTTGGTAAGTTCTGGTATCATTAAATGCACTGAATAAAATGAAAATAATTACACAGATATTCCTTCAGATTTCTGTGTCAGGTATTTACTTCTAAAGAGACAAATTACAAACAGTAAAGAAAACAACAGATGCTTATTTAAAATTATTTTATTTTTCATAATTTTCTAACACATGGTGTTAGAAAAATAAACTTTGGCACCATGACTTAGACTTTTTTTCAAGTGTAACCTTTAAATTAAAAAACAGTAGCTACAGGAAGAACATTTAAACCTCATTCAGACAAATGATGAGAAATCAAGTCAACAAATGTTTTTGTAATGGGGAATTTTTTCAAAAGTAGGATGAAAACAAGGTAATAAAGACAGTTAGAAGGGTAAGTGGAGACTAGTCAGGAATGAGAAAAAAAGTGAATAACCTGTCCAACCCAAAAAAAGACTATGAGAGAGACAAAGAGCATAAGGAAAGGAAAAGGCTCAACAACTTTATTTTCCTGATATAGAATTCAAGTACTTAAAAAGTTAAAAAAAAAAAAAAAAAGTAAAACCCACTATTAATCTCAATGAAATG